TTGCTTCAGTGGGGCTTTGGAGTTGAGTCAGCCCCTTGAGTGTGTTACGATGTAATCTGCTATGGTCTGATGCTGCCCACTGAGCGCACTGGCTCGTAGGTCTTCAGGGAGGCACAAAGGCAGCCACCAGGCAGGAGCTATAGAGAAATCTGCAGATTCCTTTTATTTGTATCACGTTGGGAAGTGTCCATGCAAGACCCAGCTGTGAAGCAAGGCAGGCTGATGCTAGTGCTGGATCATAGGCCTTGTATTGATAGGTTTGGGGCTCTTTGGCCCAGCTGCTGCTTGTTTGAGAGATTTTAGCCAAGTCTGAAGCCTAAGGAAGGATAGGCCATTCATATGCAAAAGCCATTCATACAGGTTGGGTGAGGCTGTAAATTGGATGAGGCAGGGTCTCAGGGAATCACCAGGGCAGAGCAAATAAAAATAGCTGCAAGTCAATCCTGCAGCCCTGTGACACTGGGGATTGAGCCCACAACTTAGGTGTATGCCCTGACCAGGAATCGAACTGTGACCTCCTGCTTCATAGGTCAACACTCAACCAAAATCCTGAATTCCCTTAATAGGATTTTGCCTTTTACACCAGCCAGGCTTTCCACTGATTTTTAGAGTGGAAAGGAGGGTGGTAGGGGGAGGAGAGAGAAAGTGACAGAGAGGAGAAGGAAAAGAAAGCAGTGGGGGGTGGGGAAGAGGGAGGGAGAAAGAGAGAAAGGGAAGGAGGGAGGAGAGGAAAAGGGAGAGGAAGAGGAAGGAGAAACTGGTTGCCTCCTGTCTGTGGCTGGAATGGGACCCAGGATCATACCCACAACCCTTCTGTGCACAAGGTGACATTCTAATTATTGAGTGACACTGGTCAGGGCTAAATGTGCTTGTTTTTAAGCTTTGTAAAAATTGTATCACACTACATATAGACTTCTGAGACTGGATTTAATTATCACTTTATTTTTCAGGTAATTTTACCTAGTAAATAAAATTACAAAACCCACAATTTTTTTCAATAGCTGCTCCTTTATTAAATGTTTGGTTCATATCAGGCACTGCTCTGCATGCCTGATATATACAAAGTAATTTAATACTCAATTCTATGAGATAGATACCATTATTTCCATTATATAGATGAGAAACAGAGACAGAGGGAGGAAGAAAGGGTTTAAGTAACTTGCCCAAGGTCATACTGCCAGTAAACATCAGATCTTGAATACAAACCCCACAATTAATTTTTTATTCTTTTATTGATGGACATTTGGGTGGTTGCAAACAAGAATGCCTTGAACATTCTCACTTGTACTCCTGTGCACACATGCATGAATTTCTCTAGGGTATATATGTTGAATAGTTAGGTATTAGAATAAGTGAATGCTTAACCTTACATGATAATGCCAAATTGCTTTCCACTTTACAATCCCACCTATAGAAGTCTTTTTTTTTTTTTTTTTTTTTAATTGGTTTCAGAGAGAAAGGGAGAGGGAGAGGGAGCAATAGAAACACCTATGAGAATCACTGATTGGCTGCTTCCTGCACATACTTTACTGGGGATGGAGCCTGCAATCTGGACTTGTGCCTGACCAGGAATCAAACTGTGACTTCCTGGTTCGCAGGTTGACACCCAACCACATAGCCGTATCATTTTTCCATTTTTCAGTCTAAAATGGTATATTCATTGTAGTCTCAATCACTTATGAGATTAAACATATTTTCACGTGTTCAGTCATATCCTCTGAAAGTATCTGACTTCTGTCTTTTGCTCATTTTACACAGGATAATGATGAATATAAGTGTAGATAACAGGCATTGTTGTTGTGTGTTCCTAGTTTTTTATGTATACAACTTAATCATTATCCTCTTTTACACAATGCTGAATTCCCTTAATAGGATCTTGCCTTTTACATCTCTATTTGTAAGGGCTTTATTTTCTCCTACTGAATGAGTCTGATTCCAGTACAGTAATAGTTATACTGAACCTCATAAATGAGCTGGAGTATTCTTTATTTATTCTTTGAACCTGTGTTTTCCTAGACTATGGTCTATTTTGTCTAAGTTTGCAAATATATTAAGATGCTCCTGATAGTCTCTTATTTTTATCTTTACTATATCTATAGGTACTTTGGTCATTCATTTCTTCCATTGCTTGTGAATGTCTCCTTGCTTCTACATTGCTTATTCTATTGTTCTTTTTCTTACACTTAGTCTCGTTCCTTAGTTTAAAACCACGTCCCTCAAAGTGCTGTTTCTGTGGCATCGCCCAATTTTCCAAATGTAGTACTTATAGATTCTAAGTAAGTTTTCTCCTTTCATCTGTAAAGTTTTATTAAACTTGTAAATATAAGATTTTTAAGAATTAACTTTTATTACTAACCTCTAACTTATTTCTAATTATCCATTTAATACTATTTGAAGTTAACTATAACTTATTTCATGTCTAGTACATGGTCAATTTTTGCTGATATACAAGGATTAAAAAGAATATTCTCTATTGATTAAATATGTTCATTGACTCAATAGTGAAAATTAAATTACTCAAGTCTGTATTCACTAATTTTTTCAGTCTGTCCAATTTATCAATTAAGAGCTGTTGAAATCTCTCATTTTTATGTTGTTCAATTTGTTGATTTAGTCCCATAGTTCATACATTTTGAGGTCATTTTACAAATTTAAAATTATTATATATTCCTTGTGAATTGATCATTTTCCAATTATTTAGTAACCTCTATCTTTACATATAATAGTCTAATTTTATGTGATCACTAAAACTATATTCTCTTTTGCTATTTGCCTGATTGTTTAACCCAGCAAAAAATTAAAAAAATTAAACTGTTGGTTAATTTATTTTAGTCTATTCATATTTATTTTAATTATCTGATGTCTTATCATCTACTTTTTTCCTCCTCCCACCCATATTTCCCCCCCCTTTTTATACTAAATTATTGACTTCCTATTCCATATGTTGTTTATTTTCCTCTACAATAACTTATCCCATATCCATTCTTTAGCAGTTAATACTTGAACATTTTACTATACATATTTAACATAATTTTAAAGTTAAACAATATTTTACCCATTTTCTCAAAAGAACCTCAAAATACTTTAATGCTAGTCACCCCTCTCTCACCTTATAAGTCATTGTCCAGTTTCAATTATATCCTATTTTACTAGTAAAAGTACACATTAATGTTGCATAAAATATTTAGTTTTACATTTGTTTACAACTTTCCTTCTTACAAACACTTCCTTTTCCTTCTTGAGATCATGCTTTTGCAGTCTCTTTAATGAAGGTCTATTGATGGTAAAACCTGTTTTCCATCTTAACATGTCTTTATGGTCATGTCTGAATATGTCCTTCAGTCTTGCTTGGCTCAAATTTTAAGTTGAGTAGTTTGTTTCAGAATTTTGAAGGTGTTATTTTACCATATTTTGGGTATGTATATTGTTGCCATAAAGCAGCTTACTCAGTATTTGTCTCATCTTCCTGATCCTTTCCCCACTTTGATTGCTTTTATAGTCTTGTTTGGTATCTAGCAGTTACATTCACTGGGGTTAGGTATGAATTTCATCTATATGTGCTTGGGATATACATTGTGTTTGCTGAATTTATGAATGCATATTTTCCAACAAATGCAGAAAATTGTTATTTTTTTCAAATATTGCCACTCCTCCATCCTCTCCATTCTTTCTCCCCCTAGTACGTTAGTCCTCAAAATTACTCCTTCCATACCTCTTAGTATTCATATCTTCCAGTGTCTCATTTCTCCTTGCTTTGCTCTGAGTCATTTTTTAGCTTTAGCTTTCAGTTTATTTGCTGTCTTTTCAGCAGAGTCTAATATGACATTCAACGTTTCCAAGGATTTTTTTTTTCAAGTAACAGTTCTCATTTCTAGCAATTCTATTTGTTTTATTTTTGCACATCTGATTGTGGTTCAATCCTTCATGTATATTGGCGATGAAACCTTGGGAGAGTTTAATTTGAAGATGGTTATTTCTATAGATTCTGTCTCATGCTAGTTAGTTTCAACTTGACTGGTGATCCCTAGTCATGAAATAACATTCCTTTTTTTATTCTATGAGAATCTTCCGCCTCTATCTTGCTTCTGTCAGGAGTTATAGGAGACTACAAATTGAGGACCACTCCAACTGTCCTGGGTAGGGTAGCATTTCAGATTCAGAATACTCTCCTTGTTTCTGGTCTGAGGCAAACTGCATAAGGCAGTGCTGCAATTGGTATTTGCCATGTGAGTAACCACAGCCCACCCATATACTAATACAGTATTTTTAACTTCCAACACAAAATGCATTCATTTTTGTGGTGAAAGAAAAGTAAAGGTATGCTCTTTGGAGATCTCCCCTACTTCCCTTGGGTGTATTAATGCACTCAAAGGTACATTTTTATTCAGGATCTAGGTATTTCATAGAACCTAGTCTAATGTACTGCTGGAAGAAAAAAATCTTATTTAATATAGTAAAACAATTATGCTAAACAAATACAAGAAAGCACATGATTTATTGCAATCTTTACTGATTCAAATCCGGAAAGGTTTCCTATCACTTGATCAGAACTTGGTCAATATTTTGGAACTGGGTAAACATTAGAAAGGTCCTACAGTATGAACTTACCCAATAGGTTGTTGCCCCATTTTGTAGAAATTTCTCCTGTTGTTCTATTACTAAGATATTCAGCCAACCCTGACTATTCAAATTTTCAATGTCCTGATGAATATGTGATCCAGATCAAGAGGACTAAAATCTGTGAAAATAAACCATCAGTTTGAACATTTAAAAATAAATAATAATGATATGTTACATGAAGCTTCCATCTAGATAAATAATTTTATTGCAGGGCTAAACAAGGCAGCTGGTGATTTCATTTGTCAGAAACACACCTAATAGGAGTTTGGCAGCAGGTCTGACTGCTGTTGTCTTAAAAGCAGACGGCTTGTTTGCATCTTTATTATTCATAATTTTGGTCAGTGTTCTCTGGATGATCAGGAAGCTCTTTGTGCTTCACCCTAATCACTGAAGTAGTGAAAGGAGATACCCACAGCAAGGAGTGCAACTGCAAATGCTGCAATCATACCTAAAATTAAATAAACACAAAACAAATGGAAATGGAATGAGTGGAAGAAAAGCTTACTTGACTCTAGCCTCTCAAATGCAGGTAACTGATGGGCCTAACCAATAACAGCACACACACAAATGCATATTCTTACACACATACAGACATGTCCTAAAAGCTGACAAAGTCTTAGAGGAAATACAGCAATGAGTTTTTTTAAAAAGTAGATTGCAAAGGTTAGACAGGTAATCATGTTCTTCACCACTTTAACGAAACCTTAAACAACAAAAAAATGTCTTATACATGTATGCACTCACACACATCTAAGAGAAAAACACATAATTTAAAAGGGTCCTATCTATTTATATTGAAATTCCAGCTGTCTCAAGCAATTAGGCTAAAACCAAAAAGACAGCTCCAATGTGCAGTGATTATCAATCATTAAATGCAGTCACTTGAATAGCTATTGAAAACTACAGAAACCCAGATCACCATTCTAAAATCTAGGAACTAGTAACTCATTTTTGCCCCTAGATTATTAAGTTAAAAAACAAATAAACGGCCGAAACCGGTTTGGCTCAGTGGTAGAGTGTCGGTCTGCGGACTGAAAGGTCCCGGGTTCGATTCTGGTCAGGGGCATGTACCTTGGTTGCGGGCACATCCCCAGTAGGGGGTGTGCAAGAGGCAGTTGGTCGATGTTTCTCTCTCATCGATGTTTCTAGCTCTCTATCTGTCTCTTTTCCTCTCTGTAAAAAATCAATAAAAAAAAAAAAAAACACCAAAAAAAACAAACAAACAGCTGAAACTGGTTTGGCTGAGTGGATAGAGCATTGGCCTGCGGACTGAAGGGTCCCAGGTTCGATTCCAGTCAAGGGCATGTACATTGGTTGCGGACACATCCCCAGTAGGGGGTGTGCAAGAGGCAGCTGGTCGATGTTTCTCTATCATTCTCCCTTTCTCTCTGTAAAAAATCAATAAAATATAAATGAATGAATAAATAAATAAATAAATAAATATAAACAAACAAAAAAAACAGTCTAGAGAATCTCTTTCTCTCCTCTCCTCCCCCCACCTCTCTCTCTCTCACACACACACACACACACAAAGAATTTATGAAATTAAGTTTATCTAGTAAATAAGTGATAAGAAAAACAACTAAAACTTCTGGTTGTCAAAAACCTTAATACTTTCCATGAAACAATAGTGTACATGTTCTTTGATCAATAAGTCTGAAAAAATGTGAAAGTGACTGCCATCTATCGTTGGACCTTTTAAATATTGAAGTGCATTACAAATTTTCAGTCTCAAATTTGACTTTTTTTTTTTTAATAAGAGATATCGAATCTGCAATAACAATCCTGGGAAAACCAATTTGGAAAGTATTGGTCCTACTATACTAATCAATTCCCCAAGTTCAACCTGCTTTTCTCCTAAAAGTACCAATAAAGTTAGTAGGAAGTGTCATCTTTGAGGGCCCTTGGGATAATGCATCATTTGTATATCTTTCCATCTCCAGGTCGTAGCATGTTCCACAATTCTCAATAAATACTGGCTTAATCTAGTACCTTTAAGTAAAATAAAACCCAGTGATTGTAAAGTAACAAGAAAATGGAAGTCCAAAATATAGTCTTTTTCAACCTTATAAAAGAAATAAAATACCCATGTTTCGCTGAATTTTCGATACTATTGTAGTTTGCATTGGTTCTTTTGGTTGTTCATCATCTCTATTGTCCAATGGCGCTTCAGAATTTATAGAGGAACTCAGAAAAGCTGCAAGAGGATAATAATAATGAATCCTATTATGGTTTTGACAATTAATAATTTCAAATAATTAGATATTTGTAATAAAGATGGGATCAGCAAACTGCAGCCCATGAGCCAAACTTGCAGGGGTTGGTCAGACAGCCATGGGCCAGATTTGCAGATATAAGCAAAATATGATAAAGCATGACCTCTAAAACAAAAGAATCACTTTTATGAACTGTTTCTAAACTATTCAGTCTCTTATATTTCTATAGCTTCTTGTTTGCTAAAGGGCCAAAACACCTTAGATCTAGACTACATTGCCTATCAGCTTCCAATTTCCCCTAACTTCATCTGACAAAACTTGAATGGGAGTTGGGAATGGAGGAAGATGAAGTGGGTAAAGGGAAGACTGACGGAGACTTGACTTGGGGCGGTGAACAGACTTTATTTTTTGGGGGGGAGCGAGGGGGGAGTGAACACACAATATAGTGTACAGATGATGTGTTGTAGAACTGTGCACCTGAAATCTGTATAATTTTGTTAATCAATGTCACCCCAATAAATTCAATTAAAAAACTGGAACGGGAAGCATCATTTTATTCATGTTAAAACACACGCACAACAATCTTTGGCTTTTCTACCAGCAAATATCACTGGTAAAAACTTATTCTTTGGGCCACTATATCTTTGTATCAGGTAATGAATAAACAAAAATACTGATAAAGCATGAATTTTATCTATTTGCTAAATGAATTTTTTTATTTAAACACTTATATATAATGAGCACAAAAATGGTTCTATTTGTCATGATATACATTTAATATTGAATTGTTATATGTAAAGATTTTTTTAGTAATAAAAATGGGATCAGCTAGTAATTTAAAAAGAAACTGGTCAAAATCCTGTGATTTGATACAAATTCAAGTTAAGTTTACAGAAACAGCATTTTTCAAGAATAAAGCCCTATCATAACTCACTTTTTTTGTGAGGGTCTGTAGGCTTTTAATTCAAATCTCAGGTACTATGTTATTTTACCAAAACTTTAATTTAAATGTTAATGACATATGTTCAATAAGAAATTATATTGTAACCATTCCTTAAAATCAAATAATTTAATTTAAGAAAACAACTTTCTTGAGCAACTGTTAACTGAAGAGAAAACAAGGGCCTCGATGAATACATGCTAACTGTCTAGGTGTTCCATTTCACGCCAAGTTGTTAATAGGTGGGCAGGACTATTTAGAAGCTTAAAATGAAACATTAGGACTTGAACTCCTTTGATTAGTTGTCTTCTTCTCCATCTCTGACTCCTAAATTAATGAGGTTTCACTATAATCAGGGATTTAGCCAAAAAATATAAGTTCTGTATTACTTTTCCCTCATAATTAAATTAGCAACATTTAAGGAAACAGCAAAAATTAATTTTAGTCCAGATAGCAAAATAGAATTAGTAAAATGAGTTTCATCCAATTTTTAAAGGTGTGTCTTCAAATTTTAGCTGATACTGTGGATAAAGCACATCTGAATTATTAAGTTAATATCTACTAGGAGGTGACTAATGCATCTAAGTAATTTTAAAGCCAAAGTTATCCCTAACCTTAGGTGAGTCATTTTGACAAATTGTTCTTCATCCCTTAAGTCATTTAAAACTATGTTATTTTAAGATATTTACTTGGCAAATATGTATTATAAACATAGCAACCACTTGGCAACATATTAGAGAACAGAAATAAGTAATAATCAAGCTAAATACTTATAAGTTTAATGCTAACTGTATAGAAACTGACTTCAATTTATAAATTTAAATATTTGAACTCCATTATGGTTTTAAAAATATTTATTTAGGAAAATCTATGCACACTATAAAATATTACTTTCTACTTTAACATTAATATTTTTCATTATAATTCAGGAATCATTATTTTACAGCCTTATAATGCTAGTTATTATCATGCTGCCTTTATGTTTAGAAAGCATTTTACTTAACATTTTTACTAAATTCTCATACCAACCCCAAGAGAATCTGAGGTTCAGAGGGAACTTGTTTAAGGTTATACAGCTGCAAGTGGCACACCTGGACTAAGCTAAAATACTATCTTGGAAAAATTATGCATCTAACATTTTTGAGTAAATTAATAAGTGAATAAATGAGTGACTAAGTGAATCTAATTCTAAACCAATAGGATGTTTATGTAAAAGCACTTAATTTTTATATTACAAGGTTTATGTTTTCACCCTACTTCATATTTGGGAATATATCATTTCATTATTAAAAATACACTAATTACTAAATCATTCCTTCTAATTTAAATATTTGATGAAGCAAAACGAATATAATTCTATAAAAGTAATATTCTTGGCTATAATATAACTCGTACCAGTGTTCATTTCCTAAAAAGCCTAGAGTTTCTTTTACTGTATTCATCCTTCCAAATGAACTCAAATGTTACCTGCTCTGAGATTTCCCTGAATCCCTTACAGGTATAGTGCTTCAGCTAAATAAATGTAGTAAATAAATAAGACTATAGTCTTAAAGTCTGTATTGGTTAGGTCCCATGGAAAGATAATAAAACAAAACTGTTAGGAAAAAAAATACAGATTCTAGAGTCAAACTGCTTAAGTTTCAGCTCCACCATTACTAGGTATGTAACCTGACAAAGTTGTTTGACCTTTCTGACCCTCAAGTCTCTCATCTGGAAAATGGGGCTAATAATAATCTGCATCATAGGGTTGTTATAAGGATTAAGTGATTTTATATTTGTAAGGCTCTTAAAACAGTATCTGGAATGTAAGAGGTTCTATATAAATAGATAATGTTGTTAGGGTGTTAGGTTTAATTCAAGGTAATACAATTTAAGGAAGGCTAATCCTATAATATATAATAAAAGGATAATATGCAAATAGATCAATTGGCAGAACAACCAGTTGCTATGACATGCACTGACCACCAGGAGGCAGATGCTCAATGCAGAAGTTGCCCCCTGATGATCAGTGCCTTCCCACAGGGGGAGGGCCTCTCAGTAAAAAGCCCAGAGCCTCTCTCGCCCCTGTGGCAGCACTAAGGATGTCCTACTGACGACTTAGGCCTGTGAGGGAGTGGGCCTAAGCCGTCAGTTGGACATGGACATCCCCGAGGGCTCCCTGACTGCGAGAGGGTTCAGGCTCGGCTGAGAGAACCCCTCCTCCCCCAGTGCATGAATCTCGTGCACCGGGCCTCTAGTCAGAGTGTATTTAAGTAAGTAGTTTTTAATTTTTCTTAAGTTATCAACCCTTTGAAAGCTATAGATCTTTTTCCCAGAAAAGATAATACAATTACTTTAAAGTGATTTGTGGATATCCCGAAACCTATCTATTATTACCCCAAGGTTTTAGACACCACAGGTTAAAAATTCCTCATCTAGAGAAAGGCAACCAAAGTGGCAAGATAAAATGAGGTCTGAAAACTATATAGTAAAGAGAATAGTTAAAGGTGTATGGGAATGGCTGGCTTTAAAGTATTTAAAACATAACCGTTACCCTCAAATTTAAAGCATGGACCCTAAAAAGCAGTACTCATGTTTTATTGCTGCAGATCACTGAACAAAGTAAAGATTACAGGAAGGCAGACTGGTATTAGGAATAAGGAAAAATAGAGTCTAACCATCCATTTGCAAGCAATATAGATTCAGGATTCAGTATTATCAGACAGAGGATTAACTAGGACAATTCTAATGATCCCAAATAAAGTGTATTCAGATATCAACAACAGAATGGGTCAAGAATTACTGGTAGGCACTACTGAAAGAAATAAACAAAACAAATAAAAACCTCCACCCTCATGATTCTAAGTTTGGTTTACAGGGATATCACAGTCGCTAATATGGGAAAACGTATTTTGAAAAGTAACAATTATTTTTTCAACTAGTCTACATCAAAATCTCTATTTGAAAATCGTTTTCAAAATACTGAAACAAAGCTGCTGCTTTAACATCAGGTAGCGAGCAATTTGGAGTGTTGTTACTGTTTTCCTTTAAAACAAACTTACTATTCCACATCATGATTAATGCTAACCTGGAGCTGTTAAAAATCCAGCCTGTTAGTCTCCAACTAACCTGAGGCTTTACTGACAGATTTGTAAATCACCAAACACACACCTACTTGACATCATACTACAAGAGAACTCTGAATCAAACACTCTACTTTGTGAGGGGTGGGGATTAGTTAAGCAAAAGAAGAACAAATAAAAAAAAATTAGAATTAGAAAAAGGACTTAAAAATTGCTATATTCTAATTTCATAACATCCATATTCAAAAGCAACTTAAAAATTTTATTAATATATCAGAAGTTTCAAGATTGATAAATGGCTATGTATGTAATATTCATTGATATTTGCAAATAACTACTTTCATCACATATTTTTTAATGCTTCAGGAAGTCTGTCACACCTGCCTGTACACATTTATTCACTGACATGTTTTCATAGCCTATTTTCACTAGAAACAAAACAAAAATGAAGCAAAGCCAAACAAAACAAAAACACAGCCTTCCAAAATGCAAGGTCAGATGTAAAAATGATGGGAAGGAGAAGAAAATGTGTCACACAATTAAGACAGTTTGGCAAATCTATACTCCATAAAAATAATTTTTGGAACTGCCTATTTCAGCTTAATATCCAGTTATATAAAGGGGGTAAAAAGAAAAATAAAGGCAAGTAGTATGAAAAAGATATTTAATGAAGTATTTTTAAAAACATTGTGACATCATCTTTAACCAAATAATCAAAATAATGGGTTTTGAGAAAACTTCTATTATAATAAAAGAAATACCTCAAAACCATATATTTCCACTTACTTAAGGCGACTCTTGTTTCCAAATCTACTTGCTAGGTTTAGAAAAACCTGAAATATCTTAAATGTTGATTCAACTTCCCAGAAAAACTCACTGCATGTTTATATATGCAGAAACTAGATACCTTTTTAAGTGCCTCAGAAATTATCTATCAGAACTAGCTTTAAGGAAAAGACATATTTAAATTAACGTCTCATAGGTGATCTTAGCAATAGTCTAATCAGATTCTTAAATAACACCATGGAATTACCTGTGTTGATTTCCTCTGTAATTTCCAAATCTTCAATTTGAATCCTATGATCTAACATCTCTATAAAATGGTCTCTGATTTCTTCAGCTGACTCATCACCAAATTTATAATCACATAACATTACCGTGGAACCAGGAATGGGGACAAAAACTCGGTGAGGAAGGATGTGAAACTCTTTTTCAGAATCTAAAAGAAAAAACATTATCAATATTTAGATAAGTCGGTCACTGGTATCAGTGACATAAATTTTGTAAATAAATGAAAGCATCATATACATACCAATAGAAATAAAACCTAAAAGTTGTTTTTATTCTCTAATTGACTTGACACAAAATTGCTATTACTGAATCCTGTTTTATTTCAATATCCCTGGCCTCTGCAAGGGATCTAAATGATATTCCTGTGAAATATAAGCTTATCACTGCATTACAAACTTAAGGCATATAAGGATATTGCTGATTATATATTCTTGTATTCTTTCTATGAAAGAATAACCAAGAGAAAATTTTGTGCCTGATTATTTTTTTTTTTTAACTTTACAATTTCCTCCTCTTCATGCAAGTTTGGAGCCAAATTAGTGGCCCATCAATATGGAGTGTATAGAATATGACAGCATACATTTTTATATATGTATGTATAAAATAGTCTCACCACTCACATAATCTACAAAGTGCTAGTGGTCCCCTCTATCAAGCCTGTGTATGACAGCAAGTTATATTTTATATACTAACCTCACTACCAACTCCATCTTGGTTTTTTTTCATTTTCCCTTTGTCTCATTCTTATTACTAATATTTATTATTCTGATCATTAATCTTGATTAAGTTCTTTGTTACTCCTAGAACCTTATTACATGCTGTACATAATTAATAATGCATACATATTCTGTTTTTCAAATCAGGTTATTATGCTTCTTGAGGAATGGAATCTGGTCATTGATTTGTTTCTATCACATTGCCTTGAACAGAACAAATGTTTAATCAATATTTAATAAATAGACATACTAAATGCTATAAACTAGAAGTAATATTCCTGGAACAACAATTAGTGCTACATATTGTCATAAATAGCATTAAGTAATTTTTGAAAAATTAACCTGGATCTAAATAAATAATGAAGAACTATGTTTCACTCTTCTTTGAATAATCACAAAGTAAAATATATTCCCCCCCAATTTCTAATATCACTGGTCCAAACAAACACAACTGGTTCTATATCATGATTCTAGTGAACTATCAACAAAGATCAAGATTTTGTGTAAGAAATGGACTCTTTCAGCAATGGATATAATTTTTAAATCTACTACTGTACAGGCCAAGTAGAAAAGCAGGGCTCACATGTATAGTAATCTTTTTTCTTGCCAAAAAACTAGTGGTAGCTTTATATAACTGCAAACAGAAGACAAAGAATGTCTGTCAGGGGAAATGCAATGACTTAAATTATGTGTTTCTGCCATATTATACTTATTATCTGCTTTTCATAAGAAAAGGGGAAAACAGTTTTACTCTTTGAACAGACTGCCACCTATCTGTAAAATTATATAACTACAATTTGTTTTGTAGCACATCCACACAGATGGTTAGGCATCTATTATTTTATTTGGGGCCAGATTCTTAAAATAGGTGAAGTTCAAAACTTTTAATGATGGCTATAATATGTATGTATAATTGGCATGCAAACTACATTCATTCTAGTTTTGCCTAAAAAAGATAAATACGTCATAAAATCACATGTTAAAGATTTGGTTATGATGAATTTAAATTACTCACTAAAAAAGAAAATGCTCTTATAATTTCAAATTAAAAAGTTAATTTAGCCATTTAATATCTAAATAAAACCAAGTTTTCTAATTGATCTGGGGCTAAAAATGGGAGGGGAACCTTTGTAAAAAGACACATTTTAAAAAGTATTCCAAAAAGGAGTCCTTTAGGAATAGTCCCACAGCAGAGTATTTACAGCAGTTCACTGTTATTTCAAAAAGTTCAAAACAGAAAAAACATTTAAATTTAAGCCAATACGATCAGAATTGGGCTTCTACTGATTAATAGAGTTCCAACTCATACTGAAGTATTAGAGTAATTTTTGTAAAATAGGTGCTATCTAAGCTGACTCTTAAAAGAGCCATTTGCATGAAGAGATTTCACCCACAGACTGAAACCACGACCACAGGCAAAAAGGATTGCACATGACTGAGAGGACAAGTGATATGAATGGATATGGTGTAGCAATAAAAGAAAGTAAGAGGTTTCAAAACTGATGGCCTCATTTTCATAAGGAGAGAAGGTTGCACAGGATTGAATGGAGGCTGACAGAGAATGATGAAGATGGTCTGAAATACTTTCTAAGGGGAAAACCCCAATAAGTAAAAAGAATGAATGGAGTTCATATATATATATTTTTAAATTTTTTTACAGTCATTGAAGTATTATGTTCTTTCACCTGGATAGCCAGCATCCGAAGAATATTCTTATTTTAAAATGAGGAATTTAAAATTAATATGCCCTTTGCAGACTTCCTGATGCATGCAAAAATATTCTACGGCATATATTCTACATTTTACCATTCTATAAAATCTTACAAGCATAGGAGAAACATAAACTAGGTAAAATGAGGACTAAATCTAAGATCTAACAAAATATATAAACATTTTTATAATATAAACAAATGGAAACTATATTTTTATAATGTAAACAAATTGAAGTTTCCATTTGTTTATATTATAAAAATATATATTTATATTTAGTTTATATTTGTTTATATTATACTTGCAATTTAGTCTTTTATAATTCATTTGTTTATATTATACTTGCAATTTAGTCTTTTATATTGATATCCTAAGATCAACTTATATGTTAATGGAATAAGTGGCCTGTTACTAAAGTTTAAAAAAATATATTTACACTTGCGTTTCTTCTGGAAATATAATGCTATACTTCCCAAAAATTAAAGTTAAGAAATTTTAAGACAAGTATCATTAAATAATTCCCTTCCTTCATCACCTCTAACATAATAGCAACTACTACTTATTGATAGCTTGACTTAACTTTAAAAACAGCACCTTGTTTAATCTCACAGGCTAAGAAAGTAGCTATTATAATCTCTCTGTGTTTTTTTTTTTTTTATATATAAGATAATGGATGTTTAGATAGGCTGAATCATTTGCCTAAAGTCACTTAACTAGTGGCAAAATAGACAAAGAGCCCAAGACCTTTAGTCTTTGTTCTTTCCACCAAACTACAATGCCTATTCTCTTCACATAGCCTTAAAGGTTATTCAATTGCAGTGAAAAATGTTTTTTATTTTTAAAAAATTTAATTTGTAACTTCTGCAACTGCTCTTTGAAGCAATTAATTATACTGAATGGACATCATCAAAATTTTCAATACTCACTCACTTATAAAAAGATACCAGGACACTCATATAATATCATTTTTATGAAGCATTTTTAAACAGAGTAATTAAATAATGTGTGATTAGATAGAACTTTGGCATTAATGATGGATATATGTCTACATCTCTGAAAATCTCAAAATTCACTGTTCAGCTGTAATCATACTGTTGCTCAGAAAGTGAGTATTTAACACCACGAGAGCTATACCATCCTCAAAGCCAAGTAGCAAAAACAAAGCCATAATGAGGTGAGGTTGGTAGGCTGACTAAGTAGCTAAGAGACCAAGTTTCACACAAATATCTCAATCCATTCTTATATGCTGCATATAAGAATCAAAGTCATGTCTCAGCATAACTATTCATTTCACTATCAGTGGAGAGAACCTCAGGGTTATTTGTGAAGTACAAGGACAAATATGAAATCTGGCAATTCCAGAAATCTATCATACTAGCAATATAAAAAAGATGATTAGCCTACTGAACCTAATATACTATTTACTAAAATAAGTTAATATTGTAGAGGAGCAATGCTTTCTTCTATAAATATAAAAATACTCGCTTAACAAGCTAATATATATGTTTCAATTATATGTATATTCAACTGTGAATTCCTAATCTACTCACATTTGAATGGCAGCAAGGTGAAAGATGAATATGTAGCTCTAACAAGCATTCTCAATACTTTAATTTTCTTTTTGAATAAAATAAATATATTTAATAAAAATTATAAAAATTGTATAAATTGTTTATGATTTACAATAGATATAATAGTTAGAATAAATAGGTTATGACACCACCCAAACTTTTTTAATTTAATTAAAGTCTGTTAGAGTAATTGATAAGAAGTATATAAACTAGTATACAAAAAATTTGGTAAGAATAAGATGTCAATTGCATATAGACCACAAATTAATACCTATTAAATAATCTATTAAATAAATATTCAACACTAATACATGTTTTGATTATAATGAATTATTTTAAAAACCTAATATATATTAATTTTTAAAATTAGCTTTAAAATGTTAGCACAGTTTTCTAAACTGGTAGAAATCATGCATAAATTTTTTTTAATCTTTCTAGAAATTGTTTTAAATATTGATAGATTTCCTATTATAAGGTGTTCACAAACTATTTTTTGAGCAACTGAAAGTTCTTCATTCCATGAAAACAATAAAAGATGACATAGTTATTAAAGATAGATGTAAGTATGAAAAATGATTTATCTATTATATCTTGACATCTTATCTACTGAAAGCATGCCCAAAAGAGTACTTAATTTTATACTCATAACTTTTTTTTCTGGAATTTCATTCAAAAGCAGATCCTCAAATAGTATTTCACAACGATCAGCAACTGTATTCAATATATCTCTCTTCACTGCCTACAGAAAAACAAAACAAATTACAATAAGAAAATAAACCTGTTACTATAGGTTTGCATTATTTTATTACTAAGAAACCCTTACATAACTGGTCCCCCTGTATAATCACATCCACTAAAATAAGTGACACATCATTCTTTTTCAAATGTCTACTTAACATTCTTATTAACAACATTAATAGTTTAAAAGAAAATTTGCCTGCCCCATTTAAATAATAAATTAAAACCAAATAAAGAAATGCAGTTTTGCATCTAAACACATAATGCTACTATTCTGAACTAGGAAATGTATAACTATGAAAAAAGTGCTAGTCATGGCACTTCTTAATTACAGAAATTATAGTCATTCTACCTAGTCATTCTTCCAATAAATACTTTTCCTATTATTTAAAAAGTTTAATTTCCTTTAAAGGAAATCATTTCCAATGTACTAAGACACAATGTGGAACACTTAATGAACTTGTATAATCATCATTTTAAAGAAGACATAAAATAGACATTCTACATATGAAAATCTTGTGATCAATTACATGATATAAATTGTACTGCCTAATTGACTGGGCCTTTATTAGTCAAAGTTAAATTAATAAAAATGAAAGCTGATATTAAAAAAATTAAAACTTAGGTTTTTTGAATAGTCATGTTAACATGCTTCTGCTTTTCCTGGACCAGTTATTATTCCTTTTGTACCTGCACAGCATCCTTAACCTTGGGTTTATTGCTATGAATGTAAGCTCTGCATTTCACAGCGCCTTTAAGGTTTACAGAGCCACTGCAGATCTGGACGGTGGCTGTGGATCTGTGGTCTGAATTCAGAAGCTGAAAAGACAAAAATCACTTTAAGTTCTAATAACTAACATTATATTAACTATATAAACTACATTAATAACTACATGAAACATTTAAACATTATAGAAGCCATTTCGTAAAGTGAGAAGACAGTTTTGACTGAACCAAATATTTGAAAATTTTCTCCATATATTATTAAAAGGCCTTCATATTTCTCCTTATGTAAGTTATATATCATTTGTTAAGTATTTGAGTATAGTCAAATACTTTATGTTAAACTTTTAATAGTTTTGGGCCAAAAGACTCAAACATTAAAATAATGTTTTTTATTAAAATAATGTTTCTTGCGAATAACTTTCCTAGAACTGGACATTTTTTAGTCTCTTACATCTCTAAAATTCTTTGACTCTCTAATTATAAACATAAAAACAGAAACAATTTCATTAAACTTATTCTTAGAAATAATGCACTTTAGATAAGAAGGATTTTAAAATATTTACCAACTGCGTTAACACTCTGACATCAAAAGAACAACTACTTGCTTGAGCATTTCCTCGAGGTTTTTTCTAGGGGGAAAAAAGTTAAAACTATATTACCGAGGTCAGAATGGAACATAAAAGACAATTTAGGAACCATCCTCCACATACTAAATAAGTTAGAGGAAAAAAAGTATTATTATTTGTTTTATTTTAGCTATTTCTATAGACATGTTACTTTGTATATTCTATAGCAATCAATGTATGTTGATAAAAACAAAACATTAATTCCCTACTTTTATTCCTCTAAAGCAAAGACTAGCAAACTATGGTCTACTGGTCAAATTGAGACTACCACCAGCCTTTATAAATAAAGTTTTACTGGAACACACTAAGATCATCCATTTATGTATTGTGGCTGCTTTCATGCTACAACATCAGAACTGAATAGCTGCAACAGAGACCAAACGGCCCTTATTTCTGCAGTTTGCAGGCCCTTGCTCTGAAAGGAGAGATCATAAAGTTTCTCTTCAGATCAAAGCTATTTTAGGAGCCCATGTAGTCCCTTCTTTAAATGGCAAAGGTTAGTCTTCAAACTGCCATAAGGGCAAGATTCTAATTATTTACAAAATAATCTCATAATTTTATGAGAAAAATGGCTACCCTTTACTTCAAAAGGCCTTAGAAATAAGGTAGGTAACAACTGTTTTCATGAAGGAAATAATGATAGAACTAAGGATACGTCATCTTTTGTTTTTCCTTAACACAAATAATTTCATTAGATGATTTTCTCTGAACTCACCTGTCCTTCTAATAGATCACACTCTTCAGCTTTAACTTGTCCATTAATCAAATAAACACCATTTTCTATTTGCTTCGCCCAGCGTGCAAGTCCATTCTTATAAGAAACACAACAGGGATATCTTTCAGATATGATGCCATCTCAAACTCCCCACAATCAACTTTTCCTCCTAATTCACTGGCATAGTAAAAAGCTCTATTTGGCAGTTTTTTGCACCTTGTTCATTCTATTTAATAAAAGTCTAATATGCTAAGTCAACTGTTCAACCAACCAAAGAGTAATATGCTAATCAATGCTAAGGCCACTCAACTGCTCACTATGACGTGCCCTGACCACCAGGGGGCAGATGCTCCGACAGGTAGGCTAGCTTGCTACTGGGGTCCGGCCTATCAGGACTAAGCAAGATGGGCCAGACATGCCTTGGATCCCTCCCGCAGTGCCTCCCCAGCCCCAATAGTGCACTGGTGGGGTTCCTCAACCTGGCCTGTGCCCTCTCGCAATTTGGGACCTCTTGGGGTATGTTGGAGAGCCAGTTTCAGCTCGATCCTACAGGCCACCCACCTCAGGAGGGCACCGGACACAGGGCTCACAACCGGCAGGCACTGCTGTAGCAGCTTGGAGCTCTCCAGATTGGATCTGATTGGGCGTGAGCCCGTGGCAAGTGCAATGGGGCCAGGATGAGTGAGAGCAGTAGGTAGGAGCTGCAGGCAGCTTTGGACTGTGGGTTTCAGTCCAATCCCCTCAGGCCACCACGAGGGACCCCACCCATGCATGAATTCATGCACCGGGCCTCTGGTATTTAATAATAGTTTTTCTAATCTTTATCTCAAACTACCATTTACATCACTGACTTAGAAGGTTTAATCACTACATGACCATAGTCAAATAAGTTCAAAAATTCCCATTATCTTTTAAAAATGTGACAAAAGAAAAAAGCCTCAAATATATAAAGCAGTATTTGCCTCCAACAGAAATGAGACAGAAACAAAAGAATGATACAAAAATTCTTAAAAGGGACTAAAAAAGAGAACACAAAACTAAAAATCATGCAAAAGCAAAAAGACCAAACAGTAAACCTTCTTACATAACTATATTTTACAATGTACATAACTAAGTTAATTAACATATTTATGGAGCACCTATTATGTTAAATATGTTAGTATTATGACATTGTCCCTCCTCTAAATTTGTAATCTGGGGTAATAAATTAGTTAGCTCTAACAATATTGTTACAATTAGAATACAATTTTTGAGGATTATAAAATGAACAGTAGACAACCAGAATAAAAGCAAATTATCTATTCAGCAATCACCACAGAAAATTCATTTTACCCTGATACCTTTGTATTTTTCTCCAGAGTATAGCTGACAGAAGTAGTAGACAGTGGGATGTGAATATTAATATGAACTGTACACTCTAAAGAAAGCCATGAAGTTGATAGTCCATTTTGATACTTCCAATCTGCTGGTTTTGCTGAACTCTTTAGTGAGAGAGGGGTAAAAACATAAAATATGTGCTTTAAATCATCATATGTACAACCTAGTAACTTGAACAACCTGATAGTTAATATGTTTGGCCATATTCTTTGGCCTTATCCAAAGGGCAATAGGTTACAACTAAATAAAAACAAAGCATGCATTTAATTTTAGTAATCTTCAGAATACTGAACTTGGTGACTCCCTCCTCCAGCAGTTGGCTGGCAAAAACCAGGTGGTCCATGTTTAGAATTCTGAGGAGTCCTCTGGTCCTCTAGCTCTCATCTATAGCTTTGACAATGTTAATTCTGAAGCTGCTGATGTGAAACAACCACTGAGTGACTTTCAGGTGCCAGATGTTCTCCTTTCTATCCCATCCACCTTAACAGAATTCTACAAAGTTACTTTTTCACATTACTTTTAAACACCTTAGTAAACGTTAGTTTGGATTCTGCTGAGAACAAATAGCTTGCTTACTAGTCACTATAGCTACCAAAAGCCCACATACTTTTACCAGCCTCTCAAATAAAATACTAAACACATAAACAAGGCAGGGGAGTTTAATAAACATATGTTAAAAACAAAACAAAACACAACAAAAACAACATAAATTTTCCTTGACTGTAATGAAATATTTCAAAATAAAAAAATATATATACGTGGTTGTGGACATCAATAGGAGGGAACAGCACTGAAAATTTTTTAAAACTAAATAAAGAACTGAATTGTATTCTAAAAATAGTTTACAACACAGAAAATCTTTAAAGAGCAATTTTTCTTACCTTTGGATCATGGATATCATAAGTTCGACAAAGTATTCTTTACTAATTAAGGATAAAAATGACCCAGACCATCAAAAAATAAAAGCAAAACAACTATAAGCATCCAAGAATTTTTACAAAATTATACCACTTTACACACTTAACGATATATACAAATATGTATGTAATTGTACAAATATATATATAAATTGCTCAAGGCTATAGTTGTGGTGCTTTAAACTATTTCTTATGGCTTATAAATCCTGCTAATCATAATGAATAGAAAGCATTTGCTCAAATACACACCCTCTGTAACAAATAGATGTGCTGTTTTAGATGGAATCAAGCCTGAGAATCTTTATTGGGTCAAGGGGCCTGTACATGAAACTTTCTAGTCAAATATACAAAGGAGTTTAAAGCCCAGTTTCTGCAGGAGTGACCACTGTGTGAATTTTGTCTTTTCCAAATCCTGATTCATTGGGCCCTTGCATTCCTGCACTCTATTCCCAAGGCTGTCACTTGTTTGGGAGGCATTCTTGCCCTGGCAAGATGTATAGGAAAGAAGCTAAGGGGACCTTATAACTGGCTTTTAGTGCCATTTGATCTTGGCTGAAGTCCTAAAAATTTCTTAGATATCCTAACTGTCCAGCTCAGTGCACCTGTGCTTTGAATTGAACATATTACCAATAGCTATTGGAGGTTAAAATTTAACATAATAAAAGCATTACTTTGCTTAAGCTGTCAGCTGGGGTATCTACTTCTCTGTTGGGGATTTATTGTGCTGGTAAACAGTTTTCAATCCCTAGTCCTTGACACCTCTGTCAAACTGTTTGCAACCTTGAGGCATGATTATATTAGTAGTAGTAGTAGTAGCAGTAGTAGTTGTTGTTATTGTGCTAAGTATGTGTTATTTACAGAAAAACTTAGAAACTAAACTTACTTTTAAAATAATTATTTAAATAAATGGGGGAAAAACTTATAAGAACATTATTTTGGAATTATAAACATTTAAAACACAAACACCTAAATAAAAGATACTTTTTTGTAGAAGAGCAAATGTGAAGTGTCACTCGATCTGAGACTTCCTCTTCTGTGAAACTCCACAGTCTCTTTTTATTCATAGATTTTTCCACAGCAAATACTAGCTGAAATAGAGGAAAACACACATCAATTGAACGCAATTTTAAAAAAAGAAAAGCGAATACAGAAAAACATACAATTATAATGTCCCTAAGCTCAATCTATTTAAAATTTCATGATTCTACAATTAAATTGTCTTTTCTTCAAAAGAAAGAGTGAAACTGATTTTTAAACGTTTGGATTCCATTTACACAACTGCTTTTCTAAAATAGAAAATATAATCCATCATCATTAAGAATCTACTGGATATAAAATTTAATGTTTGGCAAACATTTAAGTGAAATATAGAATAAAGGCTTTATTATAATAAGAGTGAGAAAGGACAAGTTATTTTTAAACTATAAAAATGGAGCATGTCACCCATTTGGCATTTCTTATTTAAATGTCACAAAAGATTGCCAAAACCGGTTTGGCTCAGTGGATAGAGCGTCAGTCTGTGGACTGAAAAGTCCCAGGTTCGATTCTGGTCAAGGGCAAGTGCATTGCTTGAGGGCACATCCCCAGTGGGGGGTGTGCAGGAGGCGGCTGGTCGATGTTTCTCTGTCAATGATGTTTCTAGCTCTCTATCCCTTCCCCTTCCTCTCTGTGGAAAATCAATAAAATATATTTAAAAAATAAAAAAATAAATGTCACAAAAAATTTAAAGCAATATATAAGGACACATACAATATAGTAGCAACATAAATTTAAAGTGACAAGAAAAAGAGAAATAGTTGGCATATATTTATACCAGAAATAAGAATTATAGAAGGGCATACTTGATATATGGAGAGGAGTTATAATATGGCTCTAAGCTTTCTAACAATAATGTGTATAACAAAACCTAATTTGTTACCTGCTGTACATGGTCCATAAATTAGCTGAAAACAACTGATCAGAAGAAGCACAACTTTTTTCATAATTATATCAAAAGAAATTTCTTCAAAGACAATATTATGTGATATAATGAACAAAGTTCTTAACAATGATCTTATGTGAGACACTGGCAAGTTTTATAATGTTCTTTCTTATAGTGTTCCTCAATGCTGGCCAATGGGAACAAAGTTAGATAATTCAAACTCAATAATTACAACATTCTAAGTACACACTCACCCCCACTCAATCCAGCACCAAACACAAAAGGATGCACAACCAATGTTATTAATACATAAAGATTTAGATCATATTCCAAAATGCTATTGAGACAGAGTAACTGTAATATACATTTATTAAAAGCTAGAGGCCCGATGCATGAAATTCGTCTATGGGTAGGGTCCCTAGGCCTGACTGGCGATCAGGGCCTTCCAACTACAGGCTGGGGCCTTCCTTCATTCCGCACCACCACCTGATGGTCAGCGCATGACATAGCAAGCAATAGAACTCCTGGTCTTAGTCAAATTCCCTTGGGGATGGATACTTTGCATATTAGCCTTTTATATATATATAGAAGATGGGAAAGACAGCAGAAGGTTGAATAACTTTCCAGGGGAGGGAAAAATCTCCATTTTCTTCCCTTACTCCCTTAGGTACAAATATCAAAAGTTTGACAGTGGACATTTGATAGGTAAGGTTATAAAATAAGAAGAATCTGTAGCATCTGAAATTCTTGGTTGCACACTTTTTTACTAGGAAAACTTGTGGGGACTTCCTGTGGGTTTTGCACTTTTTAAGATTATGAGGTCCGCTTCTCTCTTGATGGGGGAAATAACTTTTTATTAATTTTGAAATATATTTTTATTGATTTCAGAGAGAAATGGAGAGGGAGAGATAGAAATACCCATGATGAGAGAGAATGACTGATTGGCTGCCTCTTGCATGCCCCCTGCTGGGGATCGAGCCTGCAACCCTGTCATGTGCTCTTGTCCAGAATTGAATCTAGGACCCTTCAGTCCACTGGATGATGCTCTATCCACTGAGCCAAACTGATGAGGTGGGAAATAACTTTTTATAGAGATGAAAGCTGGCTGCAGAGTTTACTTTAGGTTGTCAGGGGAAACAGGTTGTCAGGGGAAACTTCATATTTACATATAGACTTTATTACCCAATTCACTGATGTGGAAATAAAACAAAAACAGGGGATTCATAATACTCAGTCCAGGAATAAAGAATAAATATCTGATTATTGTGATGACTTTATGTCTTATTCTCAGGATACTGAGAGAATTGAACAGAAGAATCACAAAGCCTATTAATTTCACATTAGACCAATCACTTGGAACTAAATGAAAGGTCTAACAGAATACTACTATTGTAAACAGAAACAGTTAAATCATTATGACTTGTTTCATAATAATAAAAAAAATATTTAAATTAAGACTATTTTAATATTTGCAGATTTGACTGAAAATATAAATATTGACATTATACACAAGATACCAAGCAACTGGGTGGGAAAGCTATGTCAACATAATCTCTAATAATAAAAGCATTATATGCTAATTAGACCAGACGTCCTTCCGGATGTCCTTCACAGGCGGCCTTCAGGAGGAAGCAGGGCTGCAAGTGAAACCTGGGTCCCCGGTGCCAGAAGAAAGCCAATGCTGGCAGCTGGGGAAAGGAAGGTCTAATCTTGCATGAGTTTTGTGCATCAGGCCTCTAGTATAAAGAATTATGGGACAGAAATTCAAATATGTATTTCAGGTATACATATATCCAAATAGCACCCATTAAAATAAGATGTAACTTGATCACATTAAGAATTTTTATATTTCAGACTTACTCTGCGCAGGGTATTTTGAAAATCATTTCCCATTTCTAATGTTGTAATAATAAATATTCCAAGAACTAAAAGTCCCCCAGGTAGCATTCTGGATACCTAAAAATAGAAATATAGTATTAGCCAACATAAACATTTGGCATTATATGCAATCCTTTGTGTCTGAGAAGCTAAATATTAAATCAGCAAATCCCTACTGAGTACCAACTATATGAATAGCATTGAGGCAGGAGCTTTGAGAAATGGGTTAAAATACTGAGAAATGGATGATAACCAAGACAAATGGGGTGTCAGTATGAACACAATCTTTGAGTTTTCTTTATACACTATGAAAATACTGTGGTTGGCACAGAGGATATAGCCATAAACAAAACAGATATTAAACCCTGTTCCTCATTAAACTGAGTCTAGCTTAGACTCATATTACCTTTTTTTTTTTTTTTTTGACTATTGCTGTTATATGTATTTGGTTCTGTCTCCAGACTCTCTACTCTCCAATTACACTGACCAAGGCATTTAACTGCCATGTGTCCAAAATGGAAACCAACCCCACATGCCATGATACTTTGCATTTAATTTTAAAAAGTCAATTTGCAATGAATATTATAAAAATAAATGTATTACTTACAATTTGGGTATTGATTATTTTCAGTTGAAAATTCTCACAAAAAATGATTTTTTAAAGCATCTATAGACGCTTATGGCGTACAAAAGGTTAAAATTAATTTCTAAATTACTGACAGATCATATTACCTCCTTCTCAAAATAAGTTCTAAACTTTACCATAGAGCTACTGTCTACCAAACAAACTCCTCACTTCTTAGGATAGGACTCCAAAGCCATCCATAAATGGCCCCTTACAGTCTTATGTATAACTATATTCTTATATCCTGTATTTCAATTATACCCAATTGCTTGCTATTTTCCTTACATAACTTTAACTTTAATGCCCTCAGGTCATTTATGCATACCTTCCTTTGGACATTGAATTTGTTCCCTAACTTCTACTGGCAAAGTCCTATTCATTTTTCGAGTTCAGAGCCTTCTATCAAACTGTCTGAATCCAACCACTGGCAGGTATTTAGTCATTCCCCCTCTATATTTCTGTAACATTTTCTATTTTTATCTCATTTCTCTTATAACTGGTTTGGGTAATGTCTTTTAATTGGTTAAAACATAGATTCTGAGGATTTTTAAAAAATTTAACTGTCATTTTATTGCCTCAGTGCCTAGATTAAATCTTTAAAACAATTTGACCAGAAACTATATTATCAATGACTAGTATTATTTAAAGAAAAACTGAAAATAAACTAAATAAACATAGTAGGAGATAAGTTTAAAAAAATGTAACAGATAAAAATTAACAATGGAAAAGCATAGCATATAAGATCAAAAAGTCAGACTGTCTCGGTTCAAATCCCGGTTCCACTACTTATTCTGTAATCTTGGGTAGGTTACTTAACTTCCAGTAAGAAAATGCAAGTTGTGAAAATTTAAGAATGAGTACTCTGAAATCCTACTCTGGTAATCTGAGGATAAAGTGCTTTTATTGCCGAAACTGGTTTGGCTCAGTGGATAGAGCGTCGGCCTGCGGACTGAAGGGTCCCGGGTTGGATTCCAGTCAAGGGCACGTACCGTGGTTGCGGGCACATCCCCAGTGGGGGGTGTGCAAGAGGCAGCTGGTCGATGTATCTTTCTCATCAACATTTCTAACTCTCTATCCCTCTCCCTTCCTCTCTGTAAAAATCAATTATATTTAAAAAATAAATAAATAAATAAAGTGCTTTTATTGTATCAGTCAATAAACACAAATTTAACTATCGTATATAAGGAGAAAACTCTGATGACCTGGTTAGCATGTTCTGTGACCCATTCTTCATCCAAGTTTTCCAAATGATCTTTGGGATGCTTGAGATTCTCATTTTTTTCCTCTTTTGGTGGTGTTCTAGTGGCAAGAATCACATAATCCTTCTGTGAAGAACACTTAAAAACAAATTAGAAAAACTTATTAGAGTGACATCTGACTGAAGAATGTAAAGCTCTTTTGACATGCAAAAATAGTAATATTTATAACAGCTTAAATTGTTAACGTCTATATTATAATGGAATCTATACAGAAATCAATTTTCATAAATATGCTTATAACACTTTCCCCATATGTCATCTTTTAATATATTTAATATCAGCCCCTTATTTATTTGAACATCCAAATATGAATCACGTAGTATTCACTAAAAATGACTTACTGGATGAGAAAATGAACTAAATTTAAATAAAAAGAAAACAAATATGCTCGGTCAATTTTCTAGTTATTATATTTATTTCCTATATAATTTGAACATATTGAAGGTTCAATGAAATAAAGCAACAAATGACCTTATGCATCTTACTTTCATTGAAATGACAAATACTGTGTATCAACAGAAACTAAAAACAAAAAGAAAAACACACAAAAAATGACAATAGTGGGAAACTTGCATATGTGTGTCCACAGAAAAACAAGGGAACACATAAGTGAAATGGTATCAGATTTATGTTCCTCAGTTTTAATAGCAATTAAATGGTAATCGAAGGTGGGAAACCCAAATATAAATTTAGGAACATCTAATAGCCTCATATTATTACAGTGAAAGGTTCCTATAAAGAAAGAATAAAAATAAGACTGATAATACAAGTTAGTAAGTGGTCATCTTCAGACATGACCTGAAATTCCCATCTTTAGTGTCACCTTGAACTAGGAAAGAAAGAGAATTTATTTCTATAAAAGTTTTTTCTAGAGAGTTACATTCAAATGTACACAGGAAAAAGTACCAGTAGGTGCTGATTTAAGAAAGCTTCTCATAAAATCTATGACTTTTAAAAGAAAATGACCCTGGAAGTAGGAAACAGATAAGCTTGACGGGAAGGAGAGAAAAATGATGAACCCTGGAATAAAGAGGAAGAAAGAACATGTGGAAGAGTGGACAGAATTAAAAGGCAGCATGAAGCAACACCAGAAGGAACATCCTAACTTGGGAGACACATTTGTGAGAAGGCATCTGTGTGCACTGAGGCAAGTTTGGAAGAGAGTATTTCTCACTAGACTTTTATTTCACTGAACTCATCTTTCTCTAAAACTCTTCTTCCCTTATATTTAAAAATAATAATAATAATAATGGGAAGTAAAGAACCTTAAGTAAAAAGGTTCCTAGCAGCATGCATATAAGCCTAACCAATGGACACAGACAAAGGGGGAGGGGGAGAGAGGGTGCTGCGGGGTGTGAGGGCATGAGTGAGAGGATATGGGGTGGAGGTAATGGAGGGATAAAGGGAAGAAAGCTATGGAGAAAAAAACCCCACAAACACCGGCATCATAAAAGATTTACCATTTAGCACAAAAAATAAACATATAAAGTAAAAAAAAGAAAAGTTCCTAGCAAAAGGAACCCTATATTAGATACTGTGTTTCCAGAATAAAAAGGAAGTTCAGATTGTTGCCAAGAGAGGCAGGCTGGCCGTCCAATGAGAGGCCACATAGGATGGGACTACCTTGGTGAACAGTGCAGGGTTTGCCCTCTGTCTTACAAGTTCAGAATCAGGTTTGTGACCATGAAGGTGTGACCAGGGGGGTCATGGGAATATGGGATAGCATCAGAACAAGGAGAGTTAGTTATGCAATTTGAATACTCTAAGGCATCGTGATAAAATTTCTGGAACTAGAGCTGTGTCACAACAGAGCTTCATTTGCTAACAGGCCTCAAACTCAAGCCCTTGGGCCACAGTGCTCTTTCCCCTAAACAGAGTTTAGATGGATACAGCGTTTGTCTATGTTACTCTCTTTCTTAGTTGTTGTTGCTGCTTTGTATTGCTGACGAGTCCTCCTTGCTTATTAACGCAGTCTTCCTTCAATATATAATAATTAAGTTTGTGCTTATGCTTTTTAAAGTAACTGTCCAAATCTCTATTCCATTTTGTGTTGACTTTTAAGGCTTAATTTTATGGGAGAAATAGAAAGTGTGTAATTTTCAAATTTCTCCCACCTCTTCCCACTCCCTCTCCATTGAATTAACATTTTAGTAAAAATCAATATGGTAAGTACTATACTATGTAACAAAATATAGGATGACTGTTGCTCTAAGACTAAGATAAGACAAATTAAGATGGGAGTAAACCTGTCAAAAGCTTCTATAAAAATACTGAACCATCAGGAATAAAGATTAGAAGGAAGTACAAAACACTTTGGAAACACACACACAATGTAAAATAATAATCAGTAAAAATTCTAATTTTGAAGTTTCCACATTATAAATTATTTTTGCATTGTCAAACAGGAAAGTGTTCTGACTTGAGCACAGCTGGGCTAGGTCTGTCATACTGCTGCACCCCATTTTTTCCTGAAAAATCCATTTTAAATTTACTTCTACATTCCATCCCTCCATCCCCGAACCTTGAGTTTATTGTTAAACAGCATGGTTCAACTTTAAATAAACAGGTAACTTGTCCTGTCAATTAAATACACAGTAAAAGATACATACCTGTCCTATTAAAAGACCTGAGACCAAAGACTTTCCTTGGAGATTGAGGTGTGAGAGATACTGGCCAATAGTCTCTTCTACAATGTAGGTTCTTCCCATTATTGAGAACTAATTCAATCTCCTAAATTACAAGAAAAAAAATATAGTATTTTTAGGGGGGAAAAATAGAACTTGCAACATTTTTATCATGGGGAAGAGAGAAGTGGCACTACCTCAATGCCTTGCAGTGATTGCTTATTAAATAGGATATTCTTACTTGCAAAGTTCAAATGTAGCTTCAAAATTCTCAACATAGTGCTGCAACCAGAGTTGATGTGAGACTGACCAACCAGAGTTGATATGAGAGATGAAACTCAATACCACATTTCCGATCAGGGAAAGGACACTAAATTAGTAGTCTACACACCTGTATTTTTATTTCAGACGTACTACTCCTTAGTTGTGTTAAACTTAATAATCTATGGCTAAGCCTCAGTATGCATTTCTCAAACAGAAAAGATAATTTTTTTTTTCAATCCTCACCTGAGGATATGCTTTTATTGATTTAAATATATATATATATATATATATATATATATATATATAGATAGATAGATAGAGAGAGAGAGAGGGAGGGAGAGAGAGAGAGAGAGAGAAACATCGACTGGTTGTCTCCCATGAGTGCCCCAACCAGGAATCGAACCTGAAACATAGGTATGTACCCTGACTAGGAACCAAACTGGCAAACTTTTCAGTGTACGGGAGGACATTCCCACTGAGCCACACGGCCGGGATGATAATTGATTTGCTCACAGGGAGGTGGAGAACCTAAGCGTACTGTGAAGAACTACTACATACTATTAATACAAGGTGAGATGCTATGAAGGTAATGTTTGATGTCTGCTCTTGAGTAATTCATAAAACAAGAGCCTCTGAGGTAAATAGCAATGCAATAACATTTGCATAGCTTCTACTAAAACAAAGAAAGGTAATGTAACTTGCCCAAACGACAAAGCTGGTCCATGGCAAAGGTACAATGTGAACACAGTCTGGTTCTAGAACCCATGCCCTTAAATACCATGCTTAGAACGAGGAATCAAACTCAGTTTCTCTTCTAAACCATTACTAGGAGTAACTCCCGACGGTGGATGAGAACCAGTATATTCCTCTTACTGGCCTGTGCTCCTTTGATTTGATTTTCTGTAGCTAAAAAACAAAGATGCCAACTGAAAGAGTAGGCAATAATGAACAATGATCTCAAAAAGTTCACACTGGATGTGGGAGACAAAAATGTAAAGACGATATTCCAAAATATTATAAAACATATAAAAGACTATAGGTACACAGTTGGCAGCATTTTGTCTTTTTTATTGATTTTTCACAGAGAGGAAGAGAGAGGGATAGTTAGAAACATCGATGAGAGAGAAACATTAATCAGCTGCCTCCTGCATACCCCCTACTGGGGATGTGCCCGCAACCAAGGTACATGCCCTTGACCAGAATCGAACCCAGGACCTTCCAGTCCGCAGGCTGACGTTCTATCCACTGAGCCAAACCGGTTTTGGCAGATGGCAGCATTTTGAATAGAGATAAGAAGTCTTTGGAGTTTTATAAAAAATTTCACTCTGAGTCAGCACAACAAAGTGGAAGCAACCAGAGATGTGCAGGGTGGCGTATCTGACACCGGTAAACTGTCACAATGATCTGCATTCTCCAAAACGAAAGCCCGGAGGACTGGCTCCAGCTTGATATGGCCTGCTGGATGCTGTGGCTGCTGCTGCTGCTGCTGTTTTTCAAAGAGCCTATTCAGTTTTGTCTCGAAATGCATTCAACGTCTTTTCCAACAACAGTTTGCACACAATTTTTGTTTAGATTACGTCTAGAACTGCCTAAATCATGAATACCTCCATAAAAGTAAGGACATTCGATTTTGATAGTGCCTTAAAGTACGCATTTCTGTGTTTTAAACTTCCCTCTATTTCATCATGCTATTCCACTCCTTTCCTTCTGGCCTAATAATTCCTAATGCTTGCAAGAAAGAGCAGTGACAGTGACTCCAAAGTTATGGTAGGTACCTGTCTCACCTTATTTCTTCCAAGGTGACATCTATTGGCCATGTCAATGTATAAGAAACTGAATGCAACAGGAAGAGGAAAATGTATTGGGTTGTGAAATCTGGTTGAATGTTAGATTTTTTTTGTTCTGTTTAGTGCTCCTTTCAAATTTTAAAATGTAGCCAACAATACTTTACAAAGGATACGACTAAAAAGGTGGACCTTGGCTTATAGTTCAATTTTTCCTGAAAAACTGTGCGTCAGCAAGAGCTTTCCAAGTTGTCCAAACACTGTGACTTGAGACAACTCTACCACCCTGCACTCTGATGACCTAGTCTACAAAATAAACCCTAGCAGGATCCCAGCAGGTCTGAAAAACCTGTCAAAAATTCAGGATTCTGCGAGTTCATGTACAGAATAACTGCCCTTTCCAAATGCGTGATAACAATGTGATAATATTGTGTACTTAGGGCATAGTACAGAACTGCACAGACCTGCAACTTTGAAGTGATTACATAAAATATTTCAGAGGTTTTAAAAAATCAACCCTGAACTCCTTACTGACATTCGAAAGAGGCCTACTACTGTGAGAAGTGCAGGGGGGAACGACGTGAGCAATGCTTTCTGTTCAATAAAAGAACTTAAGTTATTTTAGGAGAGCGATCACACATGACGTCATCTTTAGATTCAGCTTAGAGGCCAGAGTTACATCTGGAAACAAGCAGTTCTCTCTTCAGGCGGCGGAGTGAGAAGTGGTTTATAAGAAATTTGCTTAAAAACCTTTGTGATGGCAGTTCTTCCATTTAAAAAAAAAAAAAAATATATATATATATATATATATATATATATATATATATATATAAATAAATAAATGGAAGGTCCCCTTCTCTGCAATGTTACCTTGGCACACAAAACAGGGGTGAGACTCCCAACACGCCTCCGAACTTCCTTTTTGAAATAAAATCTTCGTCCTGAAAAATGAACCGGGGGAGGGGGGCTCCTTACATTCCTGTTTGGCTCCCTGTGACCCACCCCAACACACACCACACACTCACTCTCACTCACACATTCACACACACATACACACACACACACACACACACACACACACACACACACACACACACGGCATCTAAGTAGCTCTTTCCAATAAGATGAGTCTATCCAAGTTGGATTTGAGTGTGTGGTGCCATCGTGTCTGTCCACACGTTTCCTACAGCCTGTTTCTTCCTTAAAAAAGGGAAGTTCTCCTGTCCAGATGCGCGCGCGCGCGCGCACACACACACACACACACACACACACACACACACACAGCCTTCGTATGCACGCGTTGCAGCCTAAGGCTGAGTCACCTGCACGCGTGGCAGCACACTCACCTGCCGGCCCGCGCGGGGAGCGGAGGGTCCAGGCACCAGCCTCCAGGGACCAATTCCCGGCTCAGGCCTCAGGGACCCAATAATTCATCCGAAGGCGACGGACGTCCCCACCCCTTTACTTCCCACTCCCCACCCCGGGTCTGCGGAGGGGGCGGCGCAGACTGATGACGCAATGCCCCCCCCCCCGCCCCGGGCCTCTGCGCCGCAGTTCCTCTGCCAAAGCGCCTGCGGCCGCCCCGCCCCCTTCCGGGCACCGTGCACTGCTGGGCGTTAGCCCGGCGCTTGCTCTCCGGGCCTGCCGCGGCCGGTGCCCTCTAGCGGCTCAGTGTCTAGGAGCCGCCAAAGAGGACTCGCCATGGCCTCGCGAAGCTTTGACGGTAAGCGGGCCCTGCTTCGTAGGGAGGGACGTGGGTTATAAGAAGCACCGTGTGGCGCCACCTCGCGGACAGTGGCCACGCGGCCTGCTCACGGGGGGTTGCGGGGGGGGGGGGGGGGAGCGGAGAAGAGAAACAGGAAGAAAGGAGGAAGCTGACCGGATGTTACGTAACTGGGCCCCGCGAGGCATTTGTGAGAAAAAGAAATACATTTCCCAGAATGCCGCGGGGCTTACTGCTGGTGAAAAAGGGAAGTCGGAGGGCAGGTGCGGGTCGGCGGCGGCCTCTGCACTGCTCCCAGGATGCACCGCTGCCGGTTGCTGCGCGCGCATCCGGACGCGGGCGCCGCAGCGCTGGAGGTGGTGCCGCCGCCGCTAACGCAGGGTTTGGTTCCCCAGGATCCCGCCGCGGGAACCTCCGGCGGGCCGGCGCGCTCGAGCCCCCGAGCGAGGCCGCAGAGGTGGCCGCCCAGGCTCCTGGGTCCTCCTCCTCCTCCTGGTCTTCGCCTTTCTTCGCCGTGTCCGGTCCGTCGGCCGCTGCCGCGGCGGCCCCCGGCCTGGCGGACATGGCGGCGGTGTTGCAGCAGGTCCTGGAGCGCACGGAACTGAACAAGCTGCCCAAGTCCGTGCAGAACAAGCTGGAAAAGTTCCTGGCCGACCAGCAGTCCGAGATCGACGGCCTGAAGGGGCGGCACGAGAAGTTTAAGGTGGAGAGCGGTAAGTGATGCGCTTCCCGCCCTCAGGTGGGGGCCCGGCTCCCGCCTACGAGCGCGTCTGTGTCTGTCTGTCTGTCTGTCTCTCTCTCTCTCTCTCTCTCTCTCTCTCTCTCTCTCTCTCTCTCTCTCTCTCTCTCTCTCTCTCTATGGCCGCGACTTCCCTGGTAGCATCGTTTCTTCGCTCTCGTGGGCCCCCCTTGGCCTTGTCTTCCCGGCCCCTTTCACTGTCTGATAAGCAGGAGGCTTTTTGCTAATCGGGGTCCGTTTTCTTTGTCACTGGGGCCGTCTCCCAGAACGAGGAATGGTGACCACCTGGGGGTCTGTTTACCCCGCACGCCGAGCCGACGGCCTCTCTCTGAGCCTAGAGCACCCCGTGTGTCGGTTGCACGGGCCGCCACGGCGATTGCCGCCTGCTTGTGTGCTCACCTGCATGCAATCTGTCTCATCGACTGCCTCGTGCGCTTGTTTTGACGGTGTGTGCGGGGCTCTGGTCCCGTGGGAGGAACGAGATGCTTTGCAAAAAAAAAAAAATTAAAAAAAATGCATAGGTGAAAATAGGATGGCGTTGGCAACGAAGCGCACGTGCGGTCAATACGTTTAC